TGGGAGAACTTGCACAATTGGTGGCTGACTAAATACTTTTTTGCCCCACTGTATTCATTAAAAACATGCTATTAAACTACCCCTAATCACAAGACTGGGAGGGGTGGGTAATACTTTAGAGAAGAGAGAGAGAAGATCCAGAAAGATCTAGACAGACTTGAGTAGTGGGCTGAATTCAGTAGAATGGAATTTATCATTATTTGACAGACATTAGGATAGGCAAGGGGATTCTAGCACTGGAAGAAAGATAGTGAGTTGAAATGGTGCTAGTGTTAATTTCCTAGGGATAAGATCTTTCTTTGGATAAGATCTTTCTTTGGATAAGATAAGAGAAACCTTACAGTGGTAAACACATCTTCCTTCCTTAAAAGCAGCAACAGATAATTTTAAAATGTATAATTTGAAGTATGCATAATACTTGAAAGCAAAAAAAATCACCACTCTGTCACACCACGTGTCCTAGCCAACAGAAGCAAGGAGGGCATAGGAGTTGCCTTGTCCCCTCAATTTTTAGGATGACCCTCAAAGTATAGTGCTGTTTTGCTTACCAAATATATCAACTGACAAGCAGGAGGGCTTTCAAGATATTATACCGTATGTAAAATGAATACTGTGTTTTTCACTGTGTTCTATCAAAATGATGATTTTTAGTAAGATACTGAAGAAAATGCAACAGCAAGATGTTACTCAATTTCAAAAAAAGGCAGGATAAGTTTATTGTGAGACCAGACGAACAAGCTTACATGCATTTTGAAAGCACTTCCCCATCAGTATATATTTACAGAATGTTTTACCCTTTGCATGTGCTTAAGGATATATATTCAACTCTAATTACACAGAGTATTATCACAAGAATGATCAACATGGAGGAGCAGGCTTCTGTGAACTGGGTATCTTAGCCACAAACGGACTGTAGCACCAGGCAGCCCAATGTATGAATATTTCTGGATTGGAACTTCTCTGTCTTTGCAAACTTTAAAATAAGTTGTCAAGAAATATACTGAATATTATTATAAGAGAAACTGACTAAAACAACTATATCTGTGTGCATTATTAAACAGAGAAGAGTATATTTGCATGCAAAGAGAAAACCTTCAAGAAACAGCATATAACTAAGAAGCAGTCATACACACAATACTACTACTGTTGCACTAAACAAATATCTATAGCATATACCATAGACATTTTAGGTTTTGCTTTAACAATACCAATTTATAAGCAGTCACATTTAAAATAAAGTCCACAGGCAACCACATGCTATTCCTAATCAGAAAAAAAAAACTCTTCAGGAAGTATTATCAAGCAACATTACATAATTTTTCCACACACTGAAAAAACGACTGCTGAAATAGACTTGAAGCAATTGCTAATTAATAACCAAAACAGGATTTAGGTTTTATACAGCCACAGCCACTTCCTCCAATTATAACACTGTTAGTATTTGTTATATGGCAATAAATCAAGTACTTTATTGTTTTCCAAAAATATCCAGGTTCTCTTTTAAATGTACTGTATCTTTTGTTCTTCATCAGAAAAAAAATCTACACAGAATTTTACTTGGCACAAATAAAAATCAAGTCACAAATCTATCTGATCCATTACAGATCTTCAAAAATAGATCTAAAATCCTTGTTTCGCTTTTGTATATTTTTTGTTTTTATCAGCTTTGAAATGCATGTATTACTTAGCAACTATACAGTGTATATTCCTCAACCTAGAGAGGGGAGGTGCCTATATTTCTGGCACTGAATTGATTTCTTTCCACAATCAACACACCATATACTCAGAAATAGTTCACACTGGATAAGTTAGATTTACTGTACAGTATTTCTAATGAAATATGCATAATTTCAGGCTGTATGTGCCTTGTAGAAAGAATTTAGCAATCCCTTTTTACTGTACTTTATTTTAAAGAAAATGATACAAAATTCCTCAATACTGT